GCTCATTTGCATCAGCTCATTCCTGGTTAAAGCTGACTCAGTTTAACTCCTGAGCTCCTGTCTCTATCCAAATTCTAGCCTGAGAACATTTTATTTTCTTCCCAAGTCGTCAATATTTACAAGAACATGAGTTTTATATTTTCTTATTCTTTATAGCTTTTCACAGTGGGAGGCATGACCCACATATCTAACTCACCATAGAGCTAGAAAAATAAGTGATATTGAATTTTGCAGGTGCCGTTTCACTGTTTTCTGGATAGAGTACATGGTGAAGTAAGTGAATCGCAGGGGTATAAAACTCTTAAAAGACTATGTATAGAATCTCAGGGGTACAGAACTCTTAAAAGACTATGTATAACTAATTGATATAATATGATATAATTTGAATCTTAAATGTCCCCCAAAGGTTCATGTTTTGATGGTTTGTTCCCCAGGCAATGGCTCTATTGGGAAATGTGGCACCTTTGGGTGGTGACGCACAGTGGAAGGAAGTTAGGTCACTGGGGTAGGGGTGCCTTTAAGGGGATTTTGAGATTCCAGCTTCTTCCTCCCTCCCTCCCTCCCTTCTCTCCTTCCTTCTTTCCTTCCTTCCCGCTCTCTCTTTCTTTCTTCTACCTGACCATCATGAAATAAACAGGTCTCCTCTTTTTTGCTCTCCTGCCATGATGTACTATGCCACCAACAGTCCATGGACAGAAACTTCTGAAACTGTGAGCCAAAATAAAGCTTTCCTCCTTAGAAATTGTTCATCTCAGCTATTTGGTCCTAGTCCTGGAAAGCTAACTAACATGATTCTTGGTTGGTAGGAAAGATCAATCCATATTCAGGACACATTTAAATTCCAAGCCCCTTCTATGGTAGTAGGCATCCAAACAATCAACCTTGCACCAAGGTTGTTGTATTCTGGGATCGGCACTGGTCTAATTAGTTGGTCAAGCATTTGGCAATGGCAGCATCCAGACCAGCCTTGGTGAGGGATCACCCATCTTGTGCTCCATTCCTGATGTCATCCCTGTGTGGCTCAGCAGGGCAAAGACAAAAAGATACTCTGTCTTTTAAATAAAATCAGCAGATATAATCCATTACTACATGTTCTCAAGACAGACCAGAACTTGTCTTCATGGGAAAGGACTTGAGAGCATGAATTGTTTAACATTCTTTCATCCTAAATTTACCTGGTAATTAGGGTGGCCATCTGTTTTGGTTAGTTGCCTTTAAACACTGGCTCTCCACAACAAGCAACAGTTATAGTTAAGACAAAGAAAGCACTTAAGCTAACCTCTCATGGAAGATAGGGCCCTATCTTCTTTGAATGTTTACATTTCAAACAAGTGGCTCTCAGAGTCTTAAGAAAAACATTCCTGAGTTCTAATGCTGGCAAGAGGCTTATTAGCTTGTTAAAAGATTCATGTATATATTGAAGGACAGAGGAAGAATTCACAGATAAAAGAGGGAAAAAAGAGCGGAGAGGGTGAAATGTTCCTTTCTCTTAGGCAACAGGGAAAACTTAATCTTTTTTTTTTTTACCCTTACACTGAGATGAGACCTACTGATAACCAGATAAGGGGTCTATTGCCTCTTGATTATTGAGAGCACTTCTGCAGTGATCCTTCACTGGGAGCAAATTGTTCTCACATTCTTAGTGCAGTAGCTCTTTGTTATCAGTCCTAAAATCTGGCTCCTTCCAAGTCATCTGCTGGATGGATAGCTACTACCTATGAATCAGTATAGGTACATGTATCTATAAATCGAGCCTTCCAGGCAAACACTAGTTGAAGTAATGCTCACTATGAAGGCTTCTCTACCTTGCTGCCCTGCAGGGTCACCGTTCCATAAAGATGTCACTTGGTAGCTTCTCCTAGCCGATGCTCACTCGTGGAGAATCATCTGTAAACTCAGACCCCACATTCTCTACAGTCCTTATTCAACGAACCACAGGTTTAAGGGCTCAGTCCCAAAAGTGGGGCACTCTTGAGAAATGTGTCAGAAAAATTGGGTGCTCAGAGAACCCGCACTTCTGTCCATCTTGGCTACAAAGTCAGGTTCCCACAACCTCTTCCTCACTTTGTGCTTATAATTTGCTAGAATGATCCATAGGACCCAAAAAAACCACTTCCCTTACTATTATCAATGCATAATAAAAGATACGACCCAGGAATAGCTAAATGGGAGAGGTGCGTAGGGCAAGTATGGGAGAAGGGGATATGTGAAACTTCCAAGTCCTATTTGGGGGTGTCAACTTTACAGCATTCTATGTGTTTACCAACACAGAGGTGAGGTTCTCCACGCCCCAGCATTTAGGAGTTTTATGCAAATTTCATTCTGTAGGCATGATTGATTAAATCATATGTCACTGGGGATTAGCTCCATCCTTAGAGTCTAGAGAGTAGGCTCCAATTTCCAACCTTCTTTGTCAATTAAAAACAACTAAGTTAAACAACTAGGAAGTTCCACTCCATGGACTTTCCTGGTGAGCTGACTAGCCTCCGTCCTTGAGCTGTGTGTATTTTATTAACACACAAAAGCAGTCTCATTTCTCCAGAGATGAACCTGGGACCTGGAATGAAGGAAGGTACAATATAGTAGTCCTCTTTAAGAGCACTTTTGCTTTCCAAGATTTTGGTTATTCTTGGTTAAACTTGGGACAAAAATATTAAGTGGAAAATGATACAGGATCACTAGAGGCAGATGATTCTCTCTCCTTCTGCCCCTCCTCAAAACTTTTCTCTTTCACAGTGCTAGACGTGAGGCCCAGGACTTTGCACATGCGAGGCAAGCACTCTAAGCTACACATCTAGCCTGAACTTTTCTATCTTGATCACTTTGAACCAGCTCAGACAGTGAATTGATAGTAGCTTAACTTAGCTCACAATGCCTATGTGATTCACCTCACTTCATCTCAACATGCATGCATTTTACCATCTCGTGTCATCCCAAGAAGGGTGAGTACAGTATAATAAGCTAGAGAAAGAAAGGAATCACCTTCACATAACCTTTATTACATTATATTGTAAAATTTTGTTTTTGTCTTATTGTTTTTAATCTCTTACTGTACCTAATTTACAAATTAAACTTTATCACAGGCGTGCACATATAGAGAAAAACATAATATATATGGGGTTTGGTACTGAGATT